GATTGGTCACATTGATGAGCATCCCCGCTACCAGCGGAATTGGCAGATTGGTAAATCACTATTGGCGACCGTTCCCGCTGGCTGCGGGATTGTCTGGACAGAGGGGTCACTACAGCGAGYTGTCCCCGCCTGCAGCGGTTCTCCCGAGCCCGTCCTCTTGGGTGTGTTTCCGCAAGACCGTAAATAGGGACAGCGGGAATCCCGTTAATCCAATCATCCGCGTCACTAATTAGATGACCAGGCAAATACCTTCTCTTCCCGCTGATTCTTCCGAGGCTCGTGGAATAAATACAAATACATAAATAAATAAATAAAAATCTCTCAATCACTCTCCTTCACCCTCTCATTTTCTCACATTGACTCTCTCTGCTCTTCCCCCATCAACACACTCTCTCTCTTTCTCCCGCACACACAACTCTCTCTCACACAGCGCACACATACAGTCTCTTCCTCTCACTCCGCACAGTCTCTCTTTCTCGCACTGCACAGTCTCTCACTCTCACACTCGCTTTCACACTCTGCACTCTCTCTGTCACTGCACACTCTCTCCCTCACTGTGCACTCTCTCTCACACTCTGCACTCTCTCTGTCACTGCACACTCTCTCCCTCACTATGCACTCTCTCTCACTCTGAACAGACCCTCTCTCTCATACTTAGTCCCACTCTATCATACACAGTCCCTCTCTACCATTCAGACGCACTCACACACAGTAGATGAGCAGTGTTCAAGCACGCCCCCGCTTCACCAACTCCAACGCACTGTCCTCCCCTCTCTACGGGCCCAGCCTGCAAGTGTGGGATAGCGGGGCAGGTGAGTGGATAAGAGTTGCAGATATAGTAGCTCCTTATTGCCAACTTACGTGTAGCTGYCGATGCTCGATTACCAGCGCGTCAGACTGTTGACGTCATCATCATCTACTGTAACCACCGTGTCAGCACCAGCGCCCCATGAACGAGCACGGACTCGTGCGCTGCGTTCCCTGCGGTCACAGTACGTGCGCTGCTGTCCCTCTGGTCATCGCCCCTGCTGTGACAACGGTCGCCTTGGTCACTCCCACCAGTTGTGCAGTCCCCCTCTCTCTCACTCTCCCTCTCACACRCAGTCTCTCACTCCCGCTGTGCCTGCTACGTGGGCGGCGGACGCCT